AGTTGAGTAAACTTAAATCCATATTCTTGGACCATCATGCTACCTTGCCTCAAGTTCATGAATTCTTGAGCTTTTGCCTCCCTTAGGTCTCTTGGGAATAACCTGTCTAAAAAGGTTTCACTAAAGGATTCCCTACTGATAGGAGTTGTATTTGTAACCCTGTTCATTTACCACCAAGTATACCAGATATGAGCTATATTCTTACGCTGGTAAGATTCCAATTCAACCCGATCATTCCCAATCACCCGCATCACTTCAAATATCTTTTTGACATCATAAATGATGTTTTGGGGATCCTCACCACTTTTCCATCCTAAGAACTCAAGCGTTTTAATTAAAAAAAAAATCTCACGCTCTAGTTGGAGATGAACCAACATAAGTGTCTACCTAAATTTGCACCCACTGATTATTCTAGTTGGCAACACTGTAAGACAACATCTAAATGGCTTTCTATAAGTCTGCACGATAAACCTCCTAATTTGGGACTGGAGGAGTTGAATTGGTGTCTTTGGCATTCACATTCCTTGTGTTAGCTCTATGAGAAGGCATGATCTGAAACTTAGAATATCGAGTTACAACGGAATTAGATCATACCTTACACACGATAAGAGTAATAAGATGTGAATATTATCTTATGGCACATAGTAGCATCCCTTTCATTAGATGTGGTTGGAAGTTGCACTCCCATAAAAAGGACTCTTTGTGAACTTCCACATATTCAAGGAACCTTCAATCTAATACTCGAATACAATTTTGTCATGTACCAAGATCCCTGAGATGCGGACACAGGACCTAGAATCATGAGTGAGCCCAAGCTAACTTGCATTACATAATAATGCTAGGAATAATAAACTGATATGGAAACTAATCATGAAGTAAATTTGAATTATGGGGAATACCCATATACTAAACTAAATATATGAATCTCATAGTTTACTAAAAAAGAAGTCAAACTCAAATACTGAGATGAATCTAACTACATATGAAAGTTGCCTGTAACTAAAAAAAATTGGTGGGATATGAACCATCTAAATCTAGCAAAACTTAAACTAAAAGATTGAAAAACTAACATAATATGTTTGTTGTCATCAAAGAATAATTACTCACCACTGATGCCGCTGGGATGGACATCCAGAAACAATCCATGGACGATCTGGATGCTAAGAACCTAGAACTATATCTCAAGAATCTGTAACGTAGAGTATGTGACATTACTTAAAAGGTACTGAGCATGAATGATACTGTAAAACTGAATAACATAAAACTAAATAAGGAAATAAGGGAATGATATAATCTGAACATGATATATATATAGAATGTTGAGCTAACTTGATGCAATAACCAAATTTATAATATGCTTAGACTGAATACTGAGTGTAGTGAATATATAGTCAATCAATAGAGTGACTCAATTATAGGAGTTACTAATAACAGACAATAAAGCTATATGATCTAAATGTGGAGTGTAATGTACACACTCCATCGATAGGATCCAATATACCCAGCCACAGTTATAGAGGCATGACTGGCGTGATCATTAAACTCTCTTCCATTCAATGAGCAACTTCTAAAGAATTTCAAAAGAGATTTTCAAACCCTAACTTCTTCTATCTTTGACTATAAATATGGGTCTTGCATGAAAACATTTTAAATGATTCAAATATGATGTTTCTTATTTAAGTTTGTGATTTTAGTGCTAAAACTTCAAAGAAATCATGTTAATGTTTTTCTCAATTTTGGCGTAAGAAATGGGTTGAATCTGCATAATATTGTAGTCTTTGAGTTTTGGTTTCCTTTTAATAATATTGTTGTTTAACTACTACTTTAAGGGCTATATTATGATGAATTTTTTAAGTAATTGTTATGAGTGATGAAAACATAGATTAAAGGATAAGTTTTTAATCTTGTTTAGCTTTAATTATGAAATGCACTTGAGGGATATGATCCACCTTCTGTATTCGAAAAGAGACCATGAAGGCATATTATGTGAAGTAATATCATTATGATGTTATTATTGTTAATAGGACTTATGAAGCTTATTAGGAGAAGTATGTCACAAATTATGTCTAGATAAATTATATGACCAAGTGCAGCATGTTAAAGTGTATAATGTGATGAATGAAGGTCTAAGCATGTATAGAATTGAATGTAAACTATATGATGCTATCGTGCAAGGTGTGCTCACAGGTACACACATACACAAATTTTGAATGAATTAATGAATAAAGTTAAATAATATGAATAACAAGGGGAGTTTTGGGGTGATCACTCTTCGTGAGTTGAGATAAAGTATTTAGTAACAACCTAATTATCTTCCAAGAGATTTCTAAGATAGGTAAAAGCATGGATACCCTACGTGAGTTGAGTTATGGTGTCCACGAGTTATCATTAACTTATTGTTTATAATGTTGAGAATACATCGTGAGTTGTTCCTAGAACCTAGAGGATATAAGAAGAGGTGGTTACACTTTGTGAGTTGAGATGTTCTATTCCAATGTACCTCTTGAGATGAGTACTTCTCATTAGTAAAGAATGAGTTCTTTAGTAGCAATCTCCGTATCCCTTAACTATGCGCATGCATAGGTGTAACTATTGGGAAAACCATGTAAAAACTGAAAGAAAAAGACCTCACTGTAGACAAGTTGCAGGGCCCTTCTCCGATAAGGAAAGTATCGAGATTCCATGTCTAGCTCTTATGGTCTATGTCGGTTAATCTACCCCCCACAAAGAGAATAAGAACTAAGTCTCGTAAAAGAACGTACTACTTAGGGTAGGTGGTGGAATAGGATGCCATCTATCCATTGCACTATGTACACCTTCTTAAAGGGGAGTCTTGGTGTGTTTTATTTGAAGTTTATTAAGAAAGTCTCCTAAAAAAATGTACTACTTAGGGTAGGTGGTTGTATGAGACGCTATCAATCCATTTAACTAGGTAGACCTTCCAAAAGGGGAGTCTTGGTGTGAACTTATATGAATTAACTGAGCTAAGTCTCCTAAAAAAGTGTACTAATTAGGGTAGGTGGTAGAATGGGACACCATCTACTCATTCCACTTAGTAGGGATTTCCGAAAGGGATGTCTTTGTGTGTTGTTTGAGTGTTATTCTAATGTCTTGTCATTGAGGGGGAACTTTTTCTCCCAAGGTAAGTAGGCCTCGAAGGGGTAGTCTTGAGGATCACGTAGGTGTGTATTGAAGGAGGTGTATGAGTATTTCCTTCATGTCTTACCTTGGTGAGTCATAGGATAGAATCAATTTACTGTAATGTTGGAAGGGTCACTATAACATTTTGGTACTTCACTGGAAAATGGTTCTTTTTGCTAAAATTATGGAAATCCTTCTCTAAGTGTTAAATTATGATCCTTATGTTTTTTTACTTCAATATTCATGAATGGTTTACTTAATTTGCAAGAAACATATTCTTACTAAATTGTCCGTTTTTGCATGTTTTTGCTTAGGTCATACTTAGTACATTGTTTTGTACGAACTCCATACTTTTCTATACTCTATAAGTATATGTTTGGAAACTAGGTTGAAGATAGAAGGCAATCTTGGGGAAAACACTCTCAATACTAAGTATGTCCTCATATATTCGAGGGCATAGTTATATTTCTAAGTTTCTTATTTAAGACTTATTATGTATTTTCCTACAAATGTAAAGGGTTGTGTCTGTAAGATATCAGCCGTGTCTTTTAGTTGGCTTGTGGCATGATATTTTCTTAATATTTATGGAAAAATTCCTTTTTATATTAAATATCATGAAAAGTTTTAATTCCATACTACTTTTCATGTATTATGTAATGAATGATGGTTAAACGGTTGTACAAGACCCCAAAGGGTCAAGTACGCCTTGTGAAGACCCAAGGGTTCTTCCTAAATTCTAGGGGGTACTAATGGGTCGTGGCAAGAGCTCCATGGTTTCTCATAGTCAAGAGGGAGATAGGGTTGTGGATTTGAATATATTTCTTCAATAATCCTCATGGGATTTTTTCTAATAAGGCATGAAAGTTGTTTCTCTAAGATTAGCTACCTCCTAAGAACCAATTTCAAAGTGATTTCAAAGTTTATGGAAAAGTCTAATTTTTAGTCTAACACAAGAAGTCTTGTATGAAATGATTTCAAATCATTAGATACGATATTTTTAATGTTAAATTGATGTTTTACAATGAAAATATATATGAAACCTTGATTTCAATAAATCCCCTAAATTGGCTTATGAAGTGGGTTTATTGATTTTGATCTAGCGTTGATGGAATTATGATTGTAATGAGTTGTATAGTTGATTTATATTGTTATTTATGCTATTATATTGTGAATTGTTGTAGAATTTAAGGAATTATGGTTCTGGCTTTTGGAAGAAGGTTAGTTGACCTAATTCCCTGACTAATATAAAATTAATATAGAATCTCTTGTGTCGTATGGTCCATTTATCGTAGCGGTGTTTACTTCTTATTTTTATCGTGATCATTGCGTTGTCAAAATTATTATTTGAATTGTAGTAGTATCATGTTATGTTATACGTGAAGGTATAATATGATGTAAACGTGACCTGGACCTTGTATAATGAAGTTGTGGCATACATGAATGTATAAAGAGAAGGTTTTATGTGACATATATGTGATCTTGTATAATGTGAAGAGTTCATGTGATCTTGAGGAGATTTTGTATAAAGCTATCTGATATTTCGTAATGAAAGCATGTTCCTCTAAATGTTGGTGTGTGATGATGATTAACTATGAATATTCCGTTTATGTTGATATAGTGTCTTGAGTATGTAGACCTAGTTGTCCCTAATAGATACATGAAAGTTATGTTGAATGTGATCTCTTGAATTTGTAAGCATCGTTTCTTTAGAATGAATGAATGAATGTTTAATGACCGAGGATGACCCCTTAAAAGTAACACAGTGTACTTGACATCTCCGAAGTCTAATACAAGCCCCCAAACATCTTTAATCATATAGACATAAAATTAGAAAAAAATGTAAAACCTTTCACAACATATTACAATGCTAAAACATCACTTCATTTAAAATTCTTAAGTAAATAGTTATGACATTAAGATTCGTCTTGCAATCTGAAGACACAACTCCAATAGAACAAAATAGGGACACGACCCTTAACAATATAAAAGAGTAATCTAAACTATAGCATAAGCTTAATTAAAATTCATGACATGAAGGTTATTGAATCATTAAGGATACACTTTAACATGGGAATATGAATCGAAGCTCCTAATTCTATGAAAGATCCTCTGGCGATCACCACCTAGACTTTGTGTAAAAACATAAATGAGAATTGTATTAGTATAAGAATGCACTAAGTATGATAACCATGCAAAAATATGATTTAAAGAGGATATTTAGTTATAATTCATACATAATGTCTATTAGAGAATCTTCATAAAAAATTAATACAATAAGCACATAGGTTCACATGCATCATAGTAGACAAGAATACTATTCGTAACCACATATAAGACCATTCATTATACTTAAGACAAATTCAATATCATCATAGAATTACCTTTCCTTTTTTACCTTAACTCCATCTAAAACAATACTTAGGTAATACTTAGTACAATGCATGAATAGTGTCCCATTCCACCATTCAGACCAAAACATCACCTTAAGGTCACTAAGGTGAATATTTATAAAAACATCATCTATTTTACCATATTCATTCATAAGGACATATCATATCATAAAACACAACCCTCAAATTAGAAACATTATCTAAGACAACCCCAAATGACACTAGCGCAATGTGTAACTAGCATTCCATAATACTATTCATACAAACTATTCCTATGAAGTCACCCTAGATAAAGCACATCACATTCAATAACAAAGAATACATGCATTTAACCTTAGAAATAAGACCCACATAGTTCACAGATCTCATATAAGGACCTATTCATTTATCACTTCAAAGTCATAACCCATTTAATCTTTATGCACATCTAAAGACAAAATGAAAGCCAATACCACCAATCTAATCATAATGAAGTAGTAAAAAACATTGCATACATAGACCCTACTCATAATCTCAATATAAGCCTGCTATTTCAATGTACATGTGAAACCCCATAATCTCACACATTCTAAGTAGACCAATTAAGGATATCATATGGAATGCCACTTACTTCATACATTAATACAAAAAGCATATCCAAGAACATGCATACTTAGTAAGACCTTACTCATGTAGTCACAATAAGACAAACACCACTTATATCATCATAACAAGTTGGCTAAAACCGTACTATTGCGCACAAGATACATATATACATATACATACAAAACTCACACTAGAATTCCATTCAAGAGATACTTGTGCAATGTGTAGGTAAAGTACCATACCTTCACCTACACTAAGCAACATCCCTTAGGTAGTCCAAGTTAGGGTTCATCATCTTACTCCTATTGTTTATTTTACATTCAAGTAATTTTTCCTTAACTTACAATAGACCATGTGAGTTAAACATGATATCCAGTGTCATAAAACCCCACAAAAAAAGAAGGTGATCTATTTTCCAATATTGAACCAGATATAATAGTTATTTATGTGGATACACTATCGAGAACCTACAGGGGTACAGAGTTAAGAAACAAAGAGGTTGTTACTAGAAACCCTCTTTATGCTAAATAGCATTGTAGTTTCAACCTGATGAGAACATCGAGTGAACTTATCTTCCTTTGGGAAGGGACACCACATATGGGGAACCTATCTTCAATTTGAGATGGGACAACTCTCATTGTCAATATCACTTAGTGCTAAGCTAACTTTAATTTTTTTAAAATCTTTTAACTATTTATAACCTTAGAGTATAAGATAAGCTTTAGGATATTACCACCTTATATATATATATATATACACATATATGCATAGGGAAAACATCCAAGGGACTCTCGTTTACTAGATTATCATTACAATGCTTCATTTATACCTTCATATGTGTGTGTGCTTAAACATATTAGGAAGCCTTTCAAATAAACAGATATATACAACATATGATCATTGTTCATGAGTCAGATACTTTTCATGCATAATAATAGATAAAGGTGCACATTAGAATCATCCTTTCATTTGACACTATTAACACATTATAATTAATGATATTTGTTATCGTGATCACCTAAGAGAAGCACCATTGATATTGAGTAAACCACCTTTCAAGGATCATAAAACTTATACCATATCAGTCAAGTCATGAACAACTCACATATAGATCATTTAGGGACTATAGACCACACACAAATATTACATGATAGGAGACAAGAATATATTAAACATTTGAATAGAAGAATCAGAACATGCGTAAGATAACACATTCATATAAATATTTACATAGGTAGGGGTCATTCTACAATAGTATTCATCACAACCAAACACGTAGACCATACCTTACCCTAATATCATTATTCATATTACCGATATACCTAGATAATGATACTTGAATGGAAGACTACATACAAGAACTTCATACTTGTGATCATCATAATAACAATTAACATTACATCTACTGATTTCAAGGCCATCATCACAACATTCATAGGTAGACTAGAATGTAAACACCGCCATTATAAGTGGAAACCATACAATGTAAATCCCAATACTTATAGACTAGGAATTAGGTCAGCTTACCAATGCTATAAGACATGATTATCACAGACCAATCCTCAAAAATTGATAATCAATTGATAAAGATAGCAATAGTGTGAGAAAATACATCAGAATTTAATCACAATTCAATTAACATATAATTAAGATCACAAGACCCACCTTATAGGCTAAATTGAGAGATTAAGGAGATCATGAGTTATTCAATAAAAGGCATAAAAAATCATCATAAAACAGTAATTCCACATATATTCATCACTAAAATTCCTTAGAATATTGTTTTACAAGTAACCCATGCTTATATTGAAAATTCAAAAATTTGATCACACAAACCCTTTGGAAGATCATTGATAGAACTCCTTGGCTAAAAGGTTATCCAAGGATGGAAGGTTAACATACCTTAATAGAATAAAATCAGATTAAATTTGGAGAAGAAAGCACTTGAAAATTCATCTTCGATCTTGATCTTGAGCTTGTCCTCCAATGGAAGTTTGAGTGAATTTTGGAAGAGAAGAGAGTTTTGGATCTTTGATTTCTCATTGGGTATTTGTGTTTTTCCTTGGAAATGGGGGTAAATATGACTTAAAAACCGTTTATAACCGGCTGCCAAAGTACCCAAAACGACCCCACACTTATTGGACATTTTAATCAAGTCGAAATTGACTTTAAAGTGATGCGATCAAACTTGTGACATAGTTGCGCGTCGTGGGGGCAATTCCTACATTTACTTCACGAATTAATTTTGCGGTAGTGAGCCTCATGAAAGTGGTGCGATGTGAATTCAAGTTGACTGCAAAGCGCGTGATGCGGACAGTACTCCACATATATGTTATGTACACTACCTTGGCATTTTCCTTGTCTAACGTTTGGGTCCTCCTCAAGGACCCTTAGGGTTTTCCTACGAGAGTACTAATTGAATGTTTTTACTCTAAACATGTTTATTAATGTATTAGTGTCACGTCCACTATTTTTAGACTCTAAACAACACATAAACCCAAGGAAAACATGCAAGGATACACTACCACACAAAATACTAGTTTTTAGATGTCTTGGTCGTCCTTCAATGTTAGACTTCCAAACTCTTTAAAACAAATTTTACAAGTTTTGACACACTTTATTTAGATGTTATTAAATCTTAATACACAGGTGAGAATCTAGATCAGCCTTTTTTAGGGACTTTACAATATCCCCCACTTGGAAACATTCATCCTCGAATGACATTTGGAACACTTTCGAAACATTCAAAAACTCAATGACCCATTTAGCAGCTCACAACATTCAAGATAATACAAAGTAATATTCAATGCACCAAGCTTACAAGGAACACTAACATTCATATCATTATTCATTCAATGCAACACAAGTAAGTAGAAACTTCATTCACACACTTCAAATGCATTCAAAACATATGCATTTCTAATGTTCATAAGAGGAACTTCCTTCTCAAAATTATGAAATGAACTTTAATTTTATTTTTTATCAAAGATATCAATATCCAACAACCTTTAAATCACACATAGGAAAGTTCAACACTTAACTCAAGAGGCAAATAAGTAACTCATACTAAATGCACATAAATTATGAGTAATATAGATCAACAGAATCTTTATCACTTAGACATCATACCATTAGGGACATACATATCATTACCATGTTTAGTTATGTTCAAGGAGAAATTTCCTTCTCCTTGACATACCCATATTCATCTTAATGTTCATATACAAGCATTTCACAAAGGTCAATTCATTTGAAAGAGGAATTCTCTGTTCCTAACAAATGTATGCTCATACTCCCTTCATTATGAAGTCAAAATGGTAGATCATCAAACATATTACAACATTAGGAAGTTATTTCAAAAACTTCAATTTAATGCAAAACAATAGTTGTCATGACCATGTATCATTTAGGAAAATTTCTACATTTTATAGGCACATATTAATAACTTTTCAAAATTTTAGCCTATATTAACACTTCCAAATCACAAAACGATATTTATGGAGTGATGGTGGATCCTTCTAAGATTGAGACAGTAAAGAATTGGGTAAGACCTACTAATGTGTCAGAAATAAAGAGCTTTGTTGGGTTAGCTAGCTACTACCGCCAA